TATATATGTATATTTAAAAAGAAATAATCTATATATCTATCTATCTATAGGAAAGTGTTTTGAACCTAGCTGGTCAAAAGCAGACAAACAGATGTTGAATTAATTCACTGCAGTTCTGTTTTAGAACAGTCACTTAAACACTAATACAGAACGGTGCCTATAAGCATAGAATATAACCATGGGACCACAGGCAGACTTCAAGCTGGGATGATGAGCACTGAGCTGTCCGATAATGGAGGGCATCATTTGTACTGCAGAAGCCACTTCACAGACTGAAGTACCTGGATTTCCATTCAAAGCATCTCAGAAAAGGATCCATAAAATAGTGCTCTGAGGAAGAGGCCACTGAAATACTCTGAAGGTGTTGTTATTTTAAACTCTTCTCCATTCTGAGGGTTACATGTTACATGCAGCACTTCAGAGTGCTTTTCCACTCAGGATACAAAGCCTACAATGTCTTCTGAAGGCTACTGCCCTCTTCTAGACATCTAAAAATACTACAGGAGTGCATGGCTTTCAGTTGCTTCTAGGTTTAGGTGTGGACTGAGAAATGTTCAGGAAATGCAGTTTTAACTTAAGTGCTCACATTCCTGTCAGGTCTGATGAAAGTTGTTTTATGGACTGGATCAAACTTTGCTAAAAATATTCAGTAAATAAATATAACACAAATAACTGTTTTTAGAAGACTGATGACAATTGCAGTATTTCTTGCTAGGCATACAATATTAGCTACCCCAGCCTACAGTTTTTCTTCAGTGCTGTTAACAGAAATGAACATATTCAGGTACGCATTCACATTCACAACAGAAAAAGTAGTGAATGAGAGTTCGAAACACAGGAAAAACCTACTACTTTCAAAGGCAAAATTGCAAAAGGCAGTAAAATAGCATCTGGGAACTAATCCAGCTGTCACTGAATATAGAAGTCAGTAATATAGCACTTTGGGTTCTTTGCTTTCTTTCATTTGGCAAAAACAGTGCAAATGTCATCATCTGAGCTTCTAATAGAACAATAATCCAAGGAAATACTTAGAAGACTATTTTAATGAGTCTTATTTGTACAGAAAATGTCACCTGACACTGATAAACATTTGGAGACAGATCTCCTATAATAAAACTTGCTAAAAATAGTAATTCAGAACTACTGTAGTTCAACTGAAGAGATAAAGACAGCACACAAATCCAGTCTAAAATTCATGAATTTGACATTTTAAAAATAACCTATACAAGCTCTTCTATATGCATAAAATAATCTGCTTAAATGTTCTGTACCTGTTGAATTTCCTTGTGTGTTGGTATAGGCGTATCAAGGTAACCTTGGTGCTTGAACCAAGAGCAGATTGTCTGCAAAGACCGATAGGCACAGCCCCAACCACTGTCATCAATCCGATCCTGCATATAATGGTGATAACTATACACACCATGTACTGAATAAATCTGCACAGAAAGAGATAATACAAATGAATCTGATCACATTTCCATCCATTTTCAAAGAAGTCATATGACTTGTCACTTGCACTGTAAAAGCTGTCAGTTGGGGACTGCAAATCTTTGGAAGAATTGAAGGGTTGTTATTCACACATGATTATTCCTCCTGTTTTTGTCTCCTAAACATCTCCATTCATAGTTTTAGGTTCTTGTCCTGGTTCGGATAAACTTTTAAAATACATGCTAAAAATGTGTACAACCTTTTCCAAGAAAATGCAGTTTCTCAGGGACAAATATAGCTAGAGCAATGCCACTGTGTGCAGAGAAGCCCTTCTGCTTAAAAGGCCAAGTCAGTTACTTCACTTTCTCATCTATACAATATTTGCTACCTAAATTTATTCTTTTAATAACAAATCTCTAGTAAAATAAAGAGTACTTTCTTAAAAATGTTTTAATTTAAACTTACCATACCAGACTCTGTACCAGGTGAATTAAGATGTAAATGTGGATTTCTGAGATATCCATCTTTATATGGTTCATCTGGAAAATGATAAGCATTTGCTCTCCTGAAATATGGTCTGTCACAAGGCAGATTGAATAACCCATGCAATTCCTACATGCAAGTTTAAATAAAAATAAAAAGCACAATTTAAATTTTGTATTAAAAGAAACATCACATTGTAAATAACAATAAAGACAATTTTAACAGCATCGTTTGGCAAATTAATATATTAAAATCTGCTTCACTAAATATTCAGCATGTACATTTACTACTAGATCTCACCTCCCAAAGGAAGCCCGTGCAGGCTTACCTCCTACCTAAAGGACCCACTATTTGATGCAGTCCTGTTACAAAATGCCTGCTGCTGGAGCTCCACTGAAGACATCACGAGTGACAAGTGTCTTATGAAAGTGTGATAAAATACACCATAATAAAAAAGGATTACAGTTTTATCTATGTAGTAGTATAGATACACACACTCTGAATTATAGTCTTAACTAATATTGAAGACATACAAATACCACATACTGAGACAAAGATACTGAGCTTATGGCTTAAGCAGATTCAGTCTATTTTTAAATCTCTTAAGCACTGTTTACAACACAGCAGCCACATTTAAAGAGATATATTCTTATTTCACAGAGCTTAAGTGTGAAAAAAATTATGGTATCATCTAGGATAATGTGTGTAACGCAGGTAATTAATTTTACGCAGATGACCCAGCACTGAACCCAACTACATTAGCCACGGTAACACATATCAATCAGCGGCTAAAAGTGAATAAAGACAGAGCAGGAAAGACTTCTGTGCCACCAATGCCCGAGGCCTCTGCAAATGCAAGGAATAGATGACGCTTTATACACCCAGCAATGCTTCACAGGGAAGAAGAAAATGAAAAATCCCCATGATTTAGAGGCTTCTACACCTCTAAGACAGTGGCAGATTCTTTCCCCCCCTCTCAGGATGTGTAACTGCATGACCTGAACTGGTACCTGCCAGGTACACATCTCAGTCTAAAAGGATGGCCACATCAGAACATTTTTCCACCTCATCCATATTCTTTTTTCTAGATGTGCCAACCCAGAAGGCAAAAACCAATCAAACAAAAGCTAGCTAAGGCTGGTCAGCTGTCAGCCACAAAAAGCAGCCCCCTAAAACACACAAACAAACCAACCCACCCAACAACACATAACCCCAAGAAAGAAACCAAAACAAACCAAAACAACCCAACCCTAACCCTTTCAGGACATGTGCTAAAGCCTGAAAGTAATAACACACTACAAGTAAACTGATATTCTACTATGGAGGTGGAGGAATTCAAAGAACCCAGTACCAAAAGTATAATTTAGATAAAACCTATCTAAAACAAATCGTTATGTAGTTTTGAAGTTTCTATTGTTCCCTTAGAAAATGAGATCTGACACATCTTATAAAATAACTTCTAATAAATCAAGCTTCCAATGCTGTTTAAAAACAGCAGTATCTGTTAGTATTTATTCTATGTTGGCTAAATGAAAAGCTTTACCACTGCTTCAGTTACAATAATCATCACAATAACAAAACCCTCAAAATTTAAAAAATTGGGGTCTGTTAGTATTTGTTGCCTTTACCTTTCTATAGCTTTCCAGTTGATCATCTGAAATACCTGTTGGATACGAGATTGTTACAAGATGATTTTTTCCTGGTAACATGAAATGAAATTGTTCTGGTACGACAATTGATGTTCCCTTCATATATTTCATGATACATCTTTCCATGTCAGTTAATTGCCTGTGAATTGCTTTCACCAGGAGATTCTGTACCCTGCAAAGTATAAGGGAGAATATTTAAGACAGAACAGTGAGGGTGGATCATTTTCTCTCATAGCTGTGATAGCTGTACAATACTTATATGCATATCTCTGTCTGGTCTGATGAACTTACTACTTCTATATCTCCACTCCCACAGAGAAAGACAGAATCTCACTGTGCTTTACTCAAAGCACATCTGCACACAGAAATTATTCACTAGTGATTCAAGCCTCCAAAGTGCAGGTATGCCAGTGTTGTATCAGAAACACAACCATTATCAGCATTTCCCAAACTAAGTCATATCTATGACTATATGAGGATTTTTTGCATTTTATCCACCTCATTTAGCACCCTTTAGTGCCAAATTCTACAGAAAAAATGCAAGGAAAAAAACCAAAATAAAACAGAGAAAGACTAATTTTCCACCTTCACCTATCCAGCTGTAGACCCTAACATAGCACTGAGATTACAAAGACTCATCAAATACACTCCAACTCTCACTTTTATACACACTCGCATGCTTACAAGAATTTTTAGAACATTTTCCTCACTTTCTCAATTCCTTGCTAAGCAATGGTTACGAGTTAACAAATCTATCAGACGTGTAAACTGATTTTTTTGTAGATAGCAAAAGGATGGTGTCTCAAGATTACTAAAGCTAACAGCTGTCTGCAGGAGCTTTTACTATTCCCACAGTTAACAAAAATACTATATGATTAAACTGATTAATCATAGAATGGTTTGGGTTGGAAA